GATGGAAGTACTCAAGGTTGGGATATAATGATGGGTAATTATTATGCTGAATTCATATGCCTTAACGTGCTGAATCTCCTATTTCTCAAAATTTCATAACTATAATTAATTTGGCACAGGGTTATACTGGGGAAAAGGAGAAGTTAGGGAGATGTGAACAGGTACATAAGGTCTTATGATTTTTGTCTTGGAGCTATATTTTGGATCTTTTTTTTTTTTTGTAAATTAAATATAAATTTTTGTGATATTTTGAGAAATTTTGAGAAATATAGCTACACTTACAATTGTGAAGCAATGCTAAACTATTTTTTTTTTTTTTGATAGTGTGCGATCTTGTATGTATAAATATAACCCATACACTGTTTTTCTTTCCCTTTCACCCTTTACTTAATTTTCCCCCCACCTAGTTGTGATAGACTGATAGTAGACTGTTGTGTGCTTGGAGTTTTCTTTTTCTCTTGGACGGTAAGGCTAATGGCTCTTTTGTTCTTTTAGTCAATTTCCAATAATTTCCTTTAGGGATCTGCCACCCTTTCATCATTCCTTAATAAAAAAATTTTCTGACTTCAATATAAATAATTTCTTTATTAATCTTCTGCATCAGCCATTTCAATGTTGAGAATGTCATGTTCACCAACGTTGTTGCTGCACTCGCAGTGGCATATTAATTAAGATCTATTGAGAGAAAACTAAATAAAATTGGTGAATAAATTTACAAAACATCAAAACTAAGTTTTAGTATCATTATATTCAATTATTCATGAGGTTTGCTGTGCAGACCTACTATATAATGATACTAGAACTTGGTTTTAATGTTTTATCTCTCCCTAATGTATAAGCTTTACCCAGAAATATAGGAAATTAAGGTTGGTGGGTTAGTTATTCTACTTTTTTTCTCTCTAAATAAAAATAGAATAAATCAAGGGAACTGAAAAGTGGGCAGTCATGTAGTTATTTAACAAATTTTGAACGTTTAGTTTAAAATGTTTAAATAAAAAAATATGGATTGCAGAAAGCTAGATATATGATGAATGATTTCAATTCAAACCATGGCTTATTTCTAAATATAGAAGCTAAGAAATTAAATAATTCACATTTTCGTCATTTTTTTATTTTTTATTTTATTTTATGACTGCTGTCGTTGTTCATTTCCTTTTGTTGATTTCATGTGCTTTCTATAATCCATTGTGTGATTTCATATTGTAGCACATTACATTGACATTATTAGTCTTTGGAGTTTAGTCTGATAGTTGACAAATGTTTACACTATCCAATCTTCGTTTAGGTTCTGCTATTGGATTCAGATTGGATAGCCTTCTTAAACTCACTGAGACATGTGCACGGAACAATAAGATGACTCTCATGCATTATCTTTGTAAGGTACATCTTGCTATTTATTCCTTTCTCATAATGATTTTCTTTGCATCTTTAATGAATTAATCTGACTATATGCTTACCCGTAGGTGCTAGCTGACAAACTACCAGAAGTTTTAGACTTCTCCAAGGATCTTGCTAACCTAGAGCCAGCAGCAAAGGTTTCTGACTTTCTTCAGTTCATTATGTTGACGACAATGACATGCATTGTATATTTATGATCACTGACTTGTATAATTTGTTCCAGATCCAATTGAAGTTTCTAGCAGAGGAGATGCAAGCTATAACCAAAGGGTTAGAGAAAGTTGTACAGGAACTATCAACCTCTAAAAGTGATGGCCCTATGACAGAAACTTTCCGCAAGGTATAGGCATCATGTCTTCACTCCTTGTATAAATCTTTCATAGTTTGGAGAAGTTCATTCATCAACTCTTGTCTTTTCTTCTTTTAATTTTTGTTTTTTAATAAACTGCCGTTGTTCATTTTCATTGCTTCAAGTTTTTGATTTACACAAAAAATTTATCCTACAGTTATCTGTGAATCGTTTATTTATCGAAATTAATTGTAGCCAATTGAGTTTGCAATCATATTTGTGAAAGAAGACCATTTTTTTTTTTTGAATTTCCATTATGTGGAGGCAGACATTGAGGCTTGTTGGTGATTGGCCTAATGTTAAAGTTTGTAGTTCTGACTTTAGGAGAATGTGGTAAAGAGTAAAAATGTGCATACCTTTACTGTTAGCTAAAGGGTCCTGATTTTCATATAAAAAACTGTATGCAAATGTCAGTCTCTAACTTCTTTTATTTTGCCCCCAGAATTTGAAAGGGTTCCTCTGTTTTGCTGAAGCTGAAGTCCGTTCATTGGCTTCACTATACTCTAGCGTGGTAGGCTTTCAAGGATATATTTTTCGTTCTTCTAAAACCATATACAGGCTATGCTTTACCTGGAGAGTCTATGTTTACAGGGTAAGAACGTGGATGCATTGATTCTTTATTTTGGTGAAGATCCATCTAGCTGCACATTTGAGCAAGGTGTGTGACTGTTTAAATATAATATTCTCTTTTAATAGCTGATTGAATGAGAACTCTCTGTTTGGTTTATCTAATTATATTTTTTGCTTTGAACCTTCCCAGAATTATACGTTCCAAAGAGAAAGTTGGTGCATGGATTCTTCACTTATACTAAGCTGCATACATAAGAATTTTCAAGATTTGATTTTATTACTCCCAATTTCAATATATATATAAGTAATGAACTACCTTTATTGCTAATTTCCAAACTATCATTTGGATACCTTTATTGCTAATTTCCAAACTATCATTTGGATGTCTCTTTTTGAAGTAAAAAATTTAATATTTACATTTTGCATGCATATTCTTAAGTCTGTTCTTGTCCTGAAATTTCATTAAATTGGAAGCAATGTACGGTTCTTTAAAACTGATCTTCTTTATCGATGTCTAGTAAGGTTTCTCTTGACTGTTCCTATTTGAAGCTGGGAAACTGTCACTCTGTTGACTTTACTGTAATTCCTTTTGAAGGGAAAAATCATAAATGCACTTCCCCCCTTTCATTCTTGACTTTATGTTGATAATTTGTGTTAGACATACTCTATTATGTAGTTCAGTTGAGGAACAAACCACGAATTTTTTCTCTTCTACTAATTCTTGTGTTTATTTTGAATTTTCTGCAGTTGTCACAACTTTGGTCGACTTTACTAGAATGTTCAAAAAAGCCCATGAAGAAAATTGCAAGCAGCTAGAGATTGAAACGAAGAAAATAGAAAAAGATAAAAAGAAATGTGAATCAGAAAGGATATTGCCTACAGCAATCCGGACCAGCAATGTCAAATAAGTGGTAATTAGATGAACTACTAGCTTCGAGAATCAGTATATACTGTAGTGTGACTAGGAATTTGACTGGACAAAAACGGTTCCGGTGATTTTGAGGAGCATGTACAGTGGCACTAGTAGTAGGAACTGACATTGATAATCAAAGCGAAGAAATGCATTACACTGCAAAGTGAGGTTACTTTTTGAACCCATAGCCCGCTCACTTTGGTTGTACATGTTGTTTTTTTCAGGTCGTCATCCTCCTTCCTCACCCCAGTTGTTCTATTCCATAATTGTGAATTATAGCAGAGATGGTATAGTTTGCATAAGTTGTGTTAGTTGCCAGCCATCTTGTATATATATTCTCCGCTCAGAAACTATATAATTGTAAGTATTTCCAAGAAACCACGTCATTTCTTCCCCCTCAGGCTTTATTCTCTCCGCCAGCAACACTGATTTCACATCTGTAATGCAAAGGTTCAATATATTCTTGTATAGTTATATGGAGATTTTTTTTTCAGTAAAATATTTTTCAATACATTTCTATTAAATACCTTCTTAGGTGTTCCAAAAGAACGGAAATTTCTGGCGCTGTATTATTAAATGTTTACTATCTTAGTTATAAATTATAATATTTAAAATATTGTTTAACTGGAAGATATTGCTGAGTCATATAATTGAGGTAGTATATATCATAATCAAGGTAATACATATTTAGTGGTACTTAAATAAGAAAATTTGTTATTTTTGGCCCGTAGACAACAAATGGAACAAAATGAAATGGGAGTGGAACAGGAAATTTCTGTTTTGTTTTCCTTAATTCCATCTATTTTGGTATATTAAAGATGCATTACTCTTTTTAACTTAATATTCTGTCCCATTCTGTTATCAAAATGCACCAAACACAAATTAGAATCATTTTGGGGCGCAATAACATCCTCGTGGTCGAAATGCAGGTAGTTTTAAGTTGAGCTTGAGTCAATAATAATGCTAGCAGAAATTTGGTGTTGGTAAAATCATTTCGGTAACACGATGTATGTTTTGGTACGTTGTAATTGTTTGTTACAGCCTTGATCTCGACCATCCTTGAATTTAGATGTAATCTGGATCCAGAGAAAAATATTTTTTGCTGCAGAAAAAATTGGTTTGTTCCTTCCACCCCGATACTGGAACTTGGGTCGTGAAAACAAAAGTTACCAAAGCACAATAAGAAGCAATCAGAATTTTGCTGTTTCTTCCCTTTATTAGAGGTCATGAATTCGAGACAGGTGTAAATGATCTTGAGTCATCCTTATATGGTACGACTATGGTTAAATAAAATTAAGTACTTAAACCAAATTAAGTCGGGTAATTTCAATTATTATTGATTGTTTTTTTTTTGAATTCCAATAGAATCAGATAACCTGCCGTATCTTTAACAGGTTTACCAGACACATTTTAAGAATTTCGTAGTTAAAGTATTCCTTTGTTGTGCGATATTAGAAGTTAGAAATGGTATCTTATTGTCATTTAGGGGCACAATGACATTCTCTTCGTCGAAATGCAGGCAGTTTGAAGTTTAGATTGAGCAAATAATAATGCTGTCATAGAATTTTAAATCAACCCCTGGGCGTTGGCAAAATGATTTCAGTAACTCAATGCGTGGTTTGGTATGTTGTAATTGTTTGTTAGGCCTTGAACTTGATCACCCTGAATTTAGATGTATTCTAGATCATTTAGAAGCCACAGCCAATGAGTGAAGATGATGGAAATGAAGCCTAGTCAGTGTCTAAATGATTAGTTGGTTAGGAATATGAACTACAAAGTTTGATGATTGCGTATCTCTTGAAGAAGCAACGATCTCGCCTTGTTGACAGTGTGAAAGCAGAGGCATACATGCTCCTCAAGATCATCAAGCTGGCGTAGAAAATTCTGATGGCTCTTACATATCTGCTTGAGAACCTCCATGATAGGGTACCTCTCTCTTCCCCTCTCCAAACCAAACCGAACCAGAAGCTTATCACCTTCCACCGCGGTGTGGAGGCACTCAACGAGTCGATCAATCGTGTCAAGATCGTTGTTCAGGACATAAGCAACTTTAGCAGCAGCATCAAGCTGAGCCAGCCTGGCAACTTCTCTTCTTTCACTGTATGCACCACAAACAGGTGCAGCTGCAAAAGCAAGTGCAACAATGGCATGAACGGTTACAGCAACCGTCGCGGCAACCACTCCAACGGTCATGGCAACGAGGCCAACAGCAGAACCGGTTGTATAAGATTAAGAATTACATAAATATTTGACTCTCTGAGTGCGTGTGTGTGTGTGTGTGTGAGAGAGAGAGAGCATTTAGAAGCCACAGCCAATGAGTGAAGATGATGGAAATGAAGCCTAGTCAGTGTCTATGTCTAATGATTTGCATTGATTAAGGATGAGGCTTAACGAGTAACGTGAAATCAACCGACATAATTACTATAAATCATAATATCCCCACTAATTTTTTTAGGCCTAAGTTATTTACTTTATTTGTTCATTTTCAATACTGTTATATCAGAATTTTAATTAATTTATTATTTTCTTGATATTCTGATCTAATGATATTGAAGAAGAACAAATAAAATAAGCATAAAAAAAATAGGCATAATATTTTATTTTATTTTTATGCGAACACTATGTTTATTGTGCATTTTATCAATCATGCCTTCATACTTATACTTCAAGCCACATTGTAACATTCCCGTCTCGAGCCGGTTCAATTAACATGCATATGATATAAACAGAAACAACGGAAGACTTAACTTACAAAAATACGAACTAACTTTTTCTTTTTCTACTTTAATTCTTACTTGACGTAAACGAAAATCGGCAGTGTTTCCTCTATAAATCAGACAATTAGGGATTTTCCAATCCCACTCAAAAGCATTTCCTGATACACAGTTTATACAGCACATCAATCCAGAAGTACCAGTCATTCAGATATAATCAGATACCCATCCATGGGCACATGCATAACTTGGCTCAGTGCCGCTAATCTAACAACATGCAATCCAATACATAAACATAACTGAATACTACATCGTCATATAACGTGCCTGAATACTCAAATGTACATGCATCAAACTGACAGACATGTACAAAACATATACATGCCATATACAAAATAAAGGATCTAACATCATGATCCACAAAATACTGAAATACTAAATGAAAGCATTATACTCCAAAATAGAAGTAGCCTACAGCTACGCAAAATCCAATACGTCCAAAATCCTCAGCCACGGGTCGCGTCCCTGACTAGAGAGGTCTCACCGGGGATCTGGGCACCTGAAAATATGGCCCCAACGAGGGGTGAGATTACAAATCTTAATAAGCTCCAGGTTTATAGAGAATTCTCATAGGCCTGGCTCACTCCTGCATGAAAGTCAGATATAGAGTATACAAATACAACATATAGCAGATATCATAACAGAACAGAGCATATATCCATATCATATCGAAGGCGTGCGCCGTCATTCCCAAGGGAGGACCCCAAGCGGAAATCAACACACGTGTTCCCAAGGGAGGACCCCAAGCGGAACCAGTAGAGGCGTGCGCCGTCATTCCCAAGGGAGGACCCCAAGCGGAAATCAACGCACGTGTTCCCAAGGGAGGACCCCAAGCGGAACCAGAACATGTCAGATGTGTACATAGTCATTCCCAGGGAAGCCCCAAGAAGACATCAGTGTACCATATATCAATACAGAAATCATATCAGAGCAAGTTATATCATGTTATCAAATAACTCTATATGAATGCATCTATACAAAGTATCATATCAACAGTCATACATTCCAACCACAGTCTACTAACTATAGTGGAGCACTCGAGCAGGAAAAGACTCCTTAAACATAGAGCTTACCTCTTGAAGCTTTATCAATCTGCTTACTTGTGGCACAAGTTACTTTTTTTATCTTCAAGAGATTCCTATCCTTTTCAGTCCCTAGGTACACCTAGAGAGAGAATCCAAAATACAAATCAATAAAATGCTATCGTGCCTAGCTTTCACATAAGGCATACATTTTATCGCTTCTTTTCGTTTCTTTATGTTTTTGCCAATACTATTCCAATACACAAGTCTAGACCTCTTTATAATTGTTGGTATTCTTTAATTTAATCAAATATTCCCTTTAGAATTTTCAACATAAATCATGCCATTTTACTTTAAGAGGCCGTGGACCTACCCTTATGGAATCAAGGTATTTTCAACCATTTTTCAAGTCATTTAACTTCTTAACTGATCAATTTTATACCTTGAATTACAACACATTTTATTAAAATAAAATATAATAAAATATACCCCTATACCACCCTCTAGGTCGAACATTATAAGGAAATAGGCAAGGGTTCTTTTCTTTTTAATTACATGTAACTTACACATACAAATGTATGTTTCCCTATTATTCCAACTTAATGTTTGGACATCAAGTCCCTCACAACTCTCCCTAGCCGAATCATAGGGATCAAGACACAAAGGATTTTTCCCACATTAGCCTTCACACTAATTTACCAAATTTATACTCACTCCAACACATTAGACACTCTAAATATATAAAATAAATTTTGCACAATGAACCCTATGTGACCCATCATGGCCGAACCTAAGTAGATGCCACACAAGGAATTTATTTTTCATTTAACACATGTATACATGCTTAGTTCATATGCTTATATTCAAAACATCACAAATCCATCATCAAATTTCCTTTTAAACTAATTTATTTCACACCCAACCCATGCTCACAATTTCTATGACTCGTATCACCAAAATAACATCATGGAATTAAAGGTTTCTTACCCCTAATCAACTTCCCAAAGCCTAGAAGATATCCACCAAGCAAAGCTCCACCAAAAATGTCATTTCTCCTCCTTGATGAATAGTAGCTCGAAAATGGGGGAAGGAAAGACTCCTCGCACACTCAACTATAGCTCAAATTGATTGGTGGAATGGATTCATTGAGTAGTTTCCAATCAATTTCATGTGGTGGGTCTTTGAATTTGGAGAATGGATGATGAAGAAATCAAATAAAGAAAATTTGAAACCCTAGGCCCTTCTCCTCCATGTGCAGCTCGGCCATGCAAGAGAGAGAAGAAGAAAATCTGAAATGAATAGTGTTTCATTTAAGTGACAAGGCTATATAGGCACATGTGGCCCTTTTCATCGGATTTTTTCTATCGCGTATTTTAACTTAAACTGACTCGGAACTCACTTACAACTACAGACATATTTTTATTTTTCTAAAATCATTTTCATTAATTTTTATTTTCTAAGGAACAATTTTAAAATTCACAGTAGGGTTTCTGCACCGTTTTTGACGAAATGCACAGTGAACCACTAACTGTACTTCGTTTACTTACGAAACTTAAAACTTATGAACCTATCATTTTCTTGGGCCTATATTGGCTCGCTTGGCATATATTGGAATTTCTTATTCTTATTTCATTAGTTATTTGCTTCTGGGCTCTACCGGTTGCTTAAATAGCAGTACAAAATACCCGGTAGAAACACTATTCACGAGATTTTCACGGAAAGTGCCAGACTACACAATTTTTTGTTCTGAACTCATATTTGACGTCGGAATTGTCAAATTATGTTTCTAAAACCATTTTACTCAATTAGGCTCTACCGGTTAATTCACAAAACTGTAAATTCTCCGGCAGAACGCACTGTTCATAACATAGTCATGATTACAGTCAAAATACTCGAAATCACTAACTGGATCTAATTATGACATTTAAATCCTTAAATTAAATATCTAATTAAAATTTACCATTTAGGATCATTATACACGTCAAATAAATAATGTCCCTGTATCAGACGGACCACTTCATGGACTCATGAGGTACACTGGTCCATCATATGTAAAAAACAGCACTAGTATGCATTCGTAAATTAATCACACTAAATCCAAATTTTGGAGAAAGTACATGATTATGTTTAAATTTTGGAAATCTTATACGAAGATATCGTCAATCTTTCTAAATTAATAAACCATCATGTGCGTACTCATGCAAGCTACAAATTATGGAGTTTATAATAAGGTTCTTCTACTTGAGAGCAAACCTTTTGCACAACACTTTCACACTTCCTCAATCATACCAACACAAATTTGTTTTCCATAGGTAATAATTAATAGGACAACATGAATAGCTAGTAGCCAAGTATCCGAAAGCAAAGCAACGTATGCGTTTAGAAATTATGGGAAATCGAAAGAAGTCAATAATTGATGAAACTCAATAAAAAAAAAAGTAAATACAAGATAGCCATGTTATTGTTGTCGATTTTTATTTTATTTTATTTTTTATTTTTGGTGATGATGCTTATGTTTCATTTATTTATTTTTCAACTGTGAAAATGAATTATGGACCTCAAACACCATAACTACTCCTGCTGACCGTGAGAAATATCAATGAACTACAAGTATTTTGTGAATTTCACAAAAGCTTACTTTTCAAAGATTACTGTGAGATATTTTACTAATAGCTAGAATAAACGTACTAAATAAATTTAGATATACAAACCAATCTTAAGATTAAATATGCACTACTGATTACCAAAAAAAAAAAAAAAATAGGCAATACAAAGCTTCAAGGAGAACACCTTCATTAACAAATATGACTCTAACTTAAACCGATATGGAAAATTAAAATCGATACCTTGTATATATAAGCTAGCACAAAGAGAGGCAATGCTGAGCGAAGAGTACTTTCTTGTCCTCTGTATTTTATTAGACAAGTAAGTGTTAGAAGAACAACAATTAGATGAAGTAAGGGGGGGAAAGACACATGTATAACGCTTCATAAATGCATGTTGCAGTAATAAATTATGCTACAAGAAAATGAATTTTGAGTTTATTAATTCTAAATCGAATGGGGAAATTATTGGTGACCTTTTCCCATAAAACTATCGTCACTTATTATATCAAATTCCCTCTAGTAATTAACAAATTCTCTAGGTCTCCAAAATATTTGACTTCTAAAGTTTCAATCAAGAACTTTCCGCTAGAAAATCGTAGGCACCAAAAATGTTGAAATTTGCAAGTTACCATTTTAGGAAGAATTAACAAAAGGATACAACCCAGTATCATGGGGTAGCAACTAGCAAGTAGTGGTTCAGCTCCTAATAAAAAATTTTTGGAGAAGAGGTCTTAAAACCGGTGGAAGAACAGTTGACGGTTGAATTAAAAGTTAACATTAAATGAGTTACC